GCTTTCTTTCAATATGCCTTTTAATGTTTTTCTTATTGAACATAATACGGCAGATGGGACATTTTTGAGTAATCTGTCGATGACGGATGTTTTTTTTCATCTGTCCACCTTGCGGTATGGGCATTGTAGGTGGCGAGGCACTGTGTGGGGCAGAAGGCAGCACAGAGGATGCAGCAGCCCATGGCGCAGTAGCAAGAGGTGCAGTGGAGAGTGGGGCAACAGATGGGGCAATGGATGATGCAGCCACATCAGGCAGCACAGACGGTGGTGCATCAGCAACGGTGGGGCATCAGCAGGTGGCGTAGCAGTAGAAGGTTCAGCAGTAAAAGGTCCAGCGGTAGAAGGTCCAGCGGTAGAAGGTCCGGCAGTAGAAGGTCCAGTAGTAAAAGGTCCAGCGGTAGAAGGTCCAGCAGAGGATGGGGAAGCAAAGGGATGGGCAGCGGTGGGTGGGGCAGCAAAAGGTGAGACAGCGGTGGGTCGTGGGGATGCAGGCGCCTTAGCAGCAGCAGCAGAGACCATCAAAGCAGGGTGCTTTTCCTTACACATGAGAAGGTGATTTATGAAGGGTACCTGGCAAGGGTACCCGGCGTATTATTATTCCACGGCAATAGATGCAATGAAAGTGCAGTTTTGGTCGGCATTGTAGCCCACATCTATGAATGGTATACCCTGTAATAGAAAATAGAGCTTAAATGATTTAAATAATCATTTACAATTATTATAGACAACATCTTTACAAATGATCAGCTACAACAGGTCACTGAGTGATTGGTTAGGAGCCATCCAAATAAAAATTATCTATACTGTGACTCACACAAAATTGTGTCTCGCAAACTTACTTTCATGTGATACTGCTCGGTTAAAATGGCCCTCCACATGGTCCTTTACCATGCAGTAGTATGTGGGTTTAAACCATGCAGGCTGGCAGAATGGACAGTGGTACATACTCTTTAATGTTTTTCTTATTGAACATAATACGGCAGATGGGACATTTTTGAGTAATCTGTCGATGACGGATGTTTTTTTCATCCGTCCACCTTGCGGTATGGGCATTGTAGGTGGTGAGGCACTGAGTGGGGCAGAATCAGGCAGCACAGAAGATGCAGCAGCACATGGCGCAGTAGCAAGAGGTGCAGTGGAGAGTGGGGCAACAAATGGGGCAATGAATGATGCGGCCACATCAGGCAGCACAGACGGTGGTGCATCAGCAGGTGGCATAGCAGTAGAAGGTCCAGCAGAGGGTGGGGAAGCAGAGGGATGGGCAGAGGGATGGGCAGCGATGGGTGGGGCAGCAAAAGGTGAGACAGCGGTGGGTCGTGGGGATGCAGGCGCCTTAGCAGCAGCAGCAGAGACCATAAAAGCAGGGTGCTTTTCTTTACACATGTGAAGGTGATTTATGAAGGGTACCCGGCGCATTATTATTCCACAGCAATAAATACAATGAAAGTGGAGTTTTGGTCGGCATTGTAGCCCACATCTATGAATGGTATACCCTGTAATAGAAAATAGTGCTTAAACGTTTTAAATAATCATTTACAAGTATCATAGACGACACCTTTACAAATGATCAGCTACAACAATTCACTGAGTGATTGGTTAGGAGCCATCCAAATGAAAATGATCTATACTGTGACTCACACAAATTGTGTCTCGCAAACTTACCTTCATGTGATACAGCTCGGTTAAAATGGCCCTCCACATGGTCCTTTACCCTGCTGTAGTATGTGGGTTTAAACAATGCGGGCTGGCAGAATGGACAGTGGTACA